GCGGAGTGGTGGGGCGCAGCCCGAGGGGGTGGGTGAGGGTCCGGCCCATCCTGCACCTGGGCTGGGACTGGTCCCGCCGGCGCAGGTTAGCAGGAAGCTCTCCACACACTCACCAAACCTGGGCCAGGACTGGGTCTATGGCTTTACTTTTCATACCTCATTATTAATACTTTTCTGCTGGATGGTTAAAACCAAGATAAAGCAAGACCTATATAACAAGAAATATAACTTTTGTATCTGACCAGATCAGTCAAACACCCTCAGGATTTACCCTGAAACTCTATACCGCAGTTTGTACATCCTTTGTTAATATCAGCAATGTGGATGAGTCATGGCCACTGGATTATGTTGTTGAATGCAATCACCTACAATATTTAAATGGTAATGGAATACCCATCTCTGACAAAATAAACAAAAAAAGGGGATATAAATAAAGGACCATTTTGTATCTGTATATACAAAATAGTTAGGATAGATATACAGCTTTCTCTTAATTCAATGAGATGAAAGATTTGTACTGATATTGTTTGGATAGGATATCATGTCTGCATCTTGTACTATGAAATAACCACAACGAAGACAACAATATGCAATGTATTCATTATTGAAACTGTCCTATTAATCGATTTGGAAACTTGTCTCATTGCTATTTGTGTCTCAGTAAAATTAATTTTTTTAAAAATACAAAGTAGAGAGCCACTGTTACGAATCAAAAAATCTAATATGATGAACTCTAGAGGATATATCAAAGCAATTGTAAATATGGGTAAGAATTACAAACTTTCAAACAGAAGAAAAAGTCACAATAAATAACATAGTTCAAAATGTTTTCTCACAAAAAAAGGAAAAAAAAAAAAACAAACATGCCCTAAGGTTAAAGTTCTTTCAAATAATTTGCAGAACACCAAGTTTACTGGGTCATGTAGATTTCATTCTTTAAAATGGTACTCAGTTGGGCCTCATGACACATGCCTGTGATCCCAGCTACTTCGGAGACTGAAGCAGTAGGATCTAAAGTTTCAGGAGTGCCCAGGCAATTTAATAAGACCTTGTCTAAATAAAATTTTAGGAAAAAAAGGGTTGACGATATAGCTCAGTAGTAGGGCACTTGCCCACCACTGGCGAATCCCTGAGTTCAATTCCTGCAACAACAAAAAACAAAAAGACAAAAATGGGATTATCTTCCTCTAAAGCTTCAAAACACCTCTTATTATGATTCCTACATTATTTCTGTACTGCTTTCTTTCCATTAAACAGTATGTCTTGCTACTGTTCCAAATGCAGGCAATACAAGTAATAATCATCTGCCCTTTCAAACATGAAATAAGAAAGAGAAATTCAACTATATATAAGGCCTTCTGAATCCCAAAAGGGCTGTTTTTAATGTGTATTACAGAATTAAAAGAACAAAAAGAGTATTTTTTTTTTAAATCTTAGTGGAAACAACTCTATCACATGCTGTTCTCTTACCAGCATATCAGTGGCACTGAGATAGTGTTTGCTGGCCATGCACTGTTCCAGCTTTTGAGGTACTTGCTTGATGTTCTCAATTTCATCTAGCAGGTTCAGGACATGCTTATGTTCAATTCCTTCAATCCACAGTTTCCGAAGTTCATCACGTTTGCAGTGTAACAACATCTTGCATGAAAGCAGATTTTCTTTTACCTAGAATAGAGTAGATTCAATCTTGGGTCAATTCAAACTTTTGCCAGCCTAAACCCATAATATAGTTAATGTTCCTATTGGTACTACTGCATGTAACAATCCCTAATTCCCAGTCCCACTTAATCCCCTTGCTTGTTCTGTTTGTAAAATTCTAATCCTGGTTCTGAAACTGGATGCATCTCTGCCTCTCTGTGTCTGTATTTTTTTCTTCCATGAAATTAGCAAAGTACTCCCAACATACCTTGAGTGGATCTAAAAATAATTACTAAGGATATAAAGCATTCTGAAAATATAAAGCACCATATGTCTAAAAGGAGAATGACCAATTTGAGAAGATAATGCTATTATTCTTCCTCCAGCCCTCCCTGTAGATGATCTACTCAGCTGGTAGGTAAAGTTTACAGTCATGGATCTAAGTGTTCTTTTCAACTAGTAATTGTTTCCTCAGTTTCCAAAAACAGTAGGTATAGCTAGACATAACCTCAACAGGACATATCAGAGTTTTTGCTTTGCATTCTAAATATTAGACATTAAATAAGACAATCTACAGCACTCTGTAGATTTGCACAGTATATAACATGGTAAAATTGAAACAGAGAGAAAAAGGGGTGCAATAGGTAAAATTACATGATAAAAGTAAATTTTTACTTTGTACCTTAATTAAAATTTACAACTTTTATACCATGAGAAGATAAAAAGATTCATAACCATTTATAATTCATAGATCTACTTGCAGATCAATGTAGATATGGGAGATTTTTGACAGTCCTAACACATTTTTATGTAGAATTCAACACTGTTTCCAATTTTGTTTTCTTGAGGTAACATTTGTGAAGGAATGAATTTCATTTGTATTATTTAATGAGTTATGACAAATATGCACACTTACACAATCCAAGCCTTCATTAAACACAGAACATTTCCATTACCCTAAAAAGACTACCACATTTTTGTCCACTGAAAATCTGCATTCCTCTTTTATGAGATCTGATGTGATATATGCATACTCACTGAAACTATACTTGAAAACTAAATTTCAACATTTTTTCTATGAGGCATGGAAAATATAAAAATAGAATGCTAAGATAAAAGCTTTCTTGAGAAACCACCTAACCCATTTCTATAATTTCAGGGTAAGGCCTACACGATACTTATATGAAACTCTTCCATGTTTAAAAAAAAAGTCTTGGCTAAGGACATAGTTCAGCGGTCTGAGCGTCTGCCTGGCAAGTGCAAGGACCCAAGTTCAATCCCCAGTAACACATGCTGTGCCCACCCTGGAACCCTGGCCCCAAAACTGGGTAAGGTGGTGCACACCTGCAATCCCAGTGCTGGGGAGGCTGAGACAGGAGGATCACTACAAGTCTGAACTGCACAGGGAGAGCCTGTAACAAAAAAATAAAAATTTAAAAAATAAAGCATTGGGGCAGAGATACAGCTCAGTGGCACAAATGCTTGCTTGGCAAGCACAAGGTTCTGAGTGTGATTTCCAATACCTTAAAAAAATAAAATAAAAATAGTATTGAATAAGAGGACTCAGTGATATTTCACAAGAAATAAGCATACTGGAATAATAGTTAATTTTGGAGGAAATCAGGATTCATAGACCCAGTGGAGAAAAAAATCTAATGAACATGGTTATCATTATTCTTTTCTGTAGTCCCAACAAACTAATAGCAAAGAGGAAATTTTTTAAGTACAAAATATCAAGAAAGGAGAAGAAGGAAAAGCAGATAAGACATGGTAACAAAATTCTGAAAGCTATCAAAATGAACAGTATGGGGCCAGGGAGATAGCTCAGTAGAATAAGCACTTGCCTGGCAAGTACTAAGGGCCTCAGTTCAATCTCTGGTTCATAAACAAACAAATAAATAAATAAATAAATGTAGGAACTAAGTTTGCAGACCAGAAAAATTTTAACACCTTGACCTGGAGAAAGGCTATTCCTGGAAAGAGTGTACCAAATATATGTAAGGCAGAGGCACAGAGCTATCACTTTCTATAGAAGTATTTTAAGGTACAGGTCCCCTATCAAACCACATAGACACATAGTTTCACCTCCTCAGCACTGGTCAAATCTGGAGAGAGCAGATTTAGAAAGAATTTGAAAAAGAAATACTAGGCATGAGTATGGGAAGGATGTGAGGCACTATAAAGAAACAGGAAGATGAAGACTGAGGAGATAGCTCAGTGGTCTAAGCGCCTGCCTGGCAAGCACAAGGACCCAGCCTCAATCCCCAGGACCTCAAGTTATGCTGGACACTGAAATCAGGCACGGTGGCATATGCCTGTAATCCCAGTAATGTGGAGGCTGAGACAGGAGGATCACTACAAGTCTGAATTGTACAGTAAGACCCTATACCAAATAAGTAAAAAATAGGAAGAAATAAAAGGGGAGCCAATTAAAAGGTGTAATTTTCAGCCCCTCTGGACCTTCATCCTCTTTTAATTATTAGATTGAAGTAATAGTGGCAGTTTGACTTACTCCTAAAACATGTAAGAATCACAGCTTTCTAAAATGACCTGATTCAAGTGAAAAGACTTATAAAGATACATAGTGACATCAGTGCTTTCACTTAAAAAACTACTGAGTTCTAAAGAGAAGGAATCATCATAGATAAATCCCATAACATGCCATGAGTTCCAATTAGTTTTTCCCTCTTGCAGACAAATTTTTATCCAAGGATCACCACACATTCAAGGAAAGACAAGCAACAAAACACATACAAAAAGTAAAAAGTACTGAGGTAGAAAAGAGTATAGGGGGATAGAAATGATATAGAAAATGTGTGTTCACACGCATATGTGTGTGTGTGCATTCATACACGAAAGTGTGCATGTGTGTTGTACTAGAGATCAAACCCAGGAGAATTCTACCATTTAGGGGTAACCCTATCTGTTTTTATTTTTTTATTTTGATTTAGGATCTCCCTAAGTTTCCCAGGCTGGACTCAAACTTGCAAACCTACTACCTAAGTTTCCCTCACTGCTAAGATTACAGGCATGTTCTACTGAGCCTAGGTTGGAATCAGAATTTATAAAAACCTGTAATTCAGATGCTGAGGAAAAATAAAAGAAATTATTATATCAATGAAACAAGACAGGTTAACTATAAAAAGTTCAGAAAATGAAAAATAACTCTTAGAAAAAAAATTTTACACTTTAAAACTTTTTTAAACCAAGTAAAAAGTTTAGAAGACATCCATGACAAATTCTCCAAAAAGAAGAAAAACACACACACATGCACACAAAGGATAAAAAGAAAATCAGAAAATTGAACCAAGAGTCCAATACTTGCCAAATATGAATTCTGGCAGGAGGAGGGGGGAGATAAAAATAGAGTGGGAAAAAAAAGCTAATAAAACATAAAAAATAGAAACAAATTTTTCCTAAACAAAAGTGATGAGTTTCCATATCAAAAAAGCATATCAAGTGCTCAAGACGATAGGATGAGAAAAATACCTATCTTGACACCTTAAGAACACAAGCGTAGGGGCCAGGGAGATGGCTCAGTGGAATAAGTGCTTGCCTGGCAAGAACAGGGGCCTAGGTTCAATCCCTGGTTCCACCAAAAAAAAAAAAAAAAAAAGACAGGTGTAACCTGGGATAGTGGTGCATGCCTGTAATCCCAGCACTTAGAATCCCGAGGCAGGAGGATCCTCGCAAATTTGAGACTAGTCTCAGCTACAAAGTAAGCTCAAACCAGCATGAACTATATAGTGAGACCCTGACTCAAAGAGACAAAAAAAAAAAAAAAAAAAAAAAAAAAAAAAAAAAAGGAACACAAGCTTAAGAGAAGACCCAAAAGCTTTCAATAAAAAAAGCAGACTTTGAACAGACTAACAGAAATCGTCAGTACAATTACCCAAACTATCCTGCATGTATACCTAAACATATCTCTCTCCCTTCTTTCTTTTTTCCTTTTCTTCATCCCAATTTTTCCTTCCCACTGAACAAATTCTTTCCATTTTACAGTATCTATTGTATCTTTCTAATTTTATTAACTCTTTCAGGTTCTCAAACCAGCAATACAATACAATGTTTACACAATTTTCTTTTATTTTTCTTTTGAATTTCTTGTAACTTTGTTATTTTGTTTTGTTTTTTTCTTTAAACCAATCTTGCACATTTACACCTGTTAACTTAAACAACTAACTTGAAGATAGTATCATACAATATAGCAACCATTGTTGAATTCCTATTCCTTTGCTTAGTGAAATTGTATATCACTTCTAATGCTATTTTTTCTATTACCATTTTGTATTCTTTAAAAAATAATTTAAAAATTTAAAATTTTTAAAAGGCAGGCTTTATGCAGCAATCAGAATAGCATTAGACTTTCCTGAACAGAAACACCAAAATCTGAAAATCTGTAAGACAAAGGAACCTTATACCTTTAAAAATTCCAAAAGAGAATTACTTTCTAGGTACAGAAAAAATCTCAAAAATATTCTTATGAGCAAAAGAAGCCCAGATCCAAAAAAACAATATAAGGCATGAAGCTCTAGAACAGGCAGAACTAATCCACAGTGATAGAACTGAAATCACTAAAGTTCCTTGCAGCAGGATGTGGGAGAAAAATAACTAAAGAATCAGAAAGGAGCTCCCTGGGGCAATAATACATTTCAGGACTTATGCATGTGCCCAACTCAATGAACTGACTCTCAAAATATGTATATATTACTATAAATTAAACTTCAGTAAAGATAGGGAACATTGCTACTATAGAAAATAGTGCTGAGGTTCCCCCCAAAATGAAAACAGAACACATGACCCAACAATCCTACTACTCAGTATACAGAAGGTCCCCAGCTTATGATGGTGTGAAAACAATACACATTCAACAAAAGCCCTACTTCAAATTTTGATCTTTTCATCATTTCCCAGCTATTGATATGCTGCATAATACTCTGGTAATACTGTGAAGTGGCAGCAAGCAATAACTCCAAAAGAAACAGCCAATCTCCCACAGTGCACTGTGTTCCCAAACTAGAATTTTC